TTTCTAACAGAGTTTCAACATGGCTTTCGCAAAGGTGTATCAACTACGACCCAACTCTTTACTATCATTCACGAGGTTGCGGAAATCCTCGATGGGGGAAGTCAAATTGATGTGCTTTTCTCGGACTTCAGCAAAGCTTTCGATAAGATGCCTCATAAACAACTTCTTTTAAAACTTGAACAACTCGGTCTTCCCCCATGGTTTTGTTAACTGAATTGCTGCATACTTATCACATCGCACACAGTCTGTTTCCGTCGGAGGCTGTTTCTCTCCAGTTCTGCCTGTAACGTCAGGGGTCCCTCAAAAGAGTGTTTTAGGTCCTCTTTTGTTCCTGGTGTACATAAATGATATTGTTTCAATGTTGGACACAGGTGTTCATATACGTCTTTTGGCCGACGATCGCATTAATTTCAAAGAAATAAATTCGAGCTCGGATCAGTTATTGCTAGACCATAGTTTGCAGTCAGTTGTATCATGGTGTGACACTTGAAAAATTAAGCTTAATTCTGCTAAATCAATACTTTCACGTATTACCCCCCCCCCCCCCCCCCCCCCGAAAAAAAAAATAGCAACCCTTTGAATGCATTTACAAGATCGCGGACACCCCGGTTACTGTGGAGGTGGAATGTAAATATCTTGCTTTAGTTATATCGGACACACTTTCATGGTTTCCTCATATAAACCATATTTGTGCCTCGGCATCCAGGAAGTTGGGCTTCATTAGAAGAAAGCTGAAAAACACTCGGATTCAGGTTAAGCCGCATGCTTACTATTTATTAGTCAGATCCAAGTTGGAGTATGCAAATGTCGTTTGGGATCCATTCACTAAGAAAGACATCCGTAAGTTGGAGATGGTGCAACGTCGAGCAGTTCGGTTTATTTACGGAAAATATAGAAGATTGGATTCCCCGTCTCAACTTGTAGAGGCTAATGGAGTACACACCCTTCAGACCAGAAGGAAACTTGCGCGGTTGAAATTCTTGTTTCATCTTCAACAAGGGCAGACTCGCATAGACCCCTTGCAATATATTTCTCCTTTAGAGTCCAGACCTACGCGGCACAGACATCAGTTTTCATTAACATCCATTTTCGCGCATACTAACATGTTTAAGTTTAACTTTTTCCCCCGCACTATTAGCAACTGGAACGGCTTACCTCTGGAACTATTTAACGACACCAACTTTTGCAAGGTCTGGAACGTCTTGATGTCTAGCATGCCGTTTTGTATATTGCTGCGTGTCCATCCTTTTCTCAAGGGCTTTAAGATTGTATAAACCTTCGTACTACATCTGTATAGATCATTTTGTAATACTGCATGATTGCACTACATGTTGCTGTCCCCCCCCCCCCCCGTTTTTTCCTATAAATATCTTGTATATTTGGTAGTTGACTGTTTTAAAGCTTTTAATGCCGCGTTATTTGTTTGTTGTTGTATGTGCGAATGCATATGATGTACCCCACCCCTACTTGGGCCTTTAATGGCCTGTGGTATCCTCTAAATAAAAAAAAAATAACTCTACCTTTGCAGTCAATGTAACGCTTGTTAAAATACCAAGGAGCACGGTGGAGGCGTAGCAACACATGTTACTGAGGTGGAGCCTGCATCACTAACTGTTATCAACCAAAAGTCTCATACAGATAGCCGTTTGCACGTCCGTTCGTCAACGCACTATTTCGGCTATTCACTTGGCGAAACGTCTATAGAGCATTTTGAAAAGTGCGCGACATCCAGTATTTGCTTAGTGAATTATTGGAGTCCACCATTTTGTGGGCACGTACTCAGATCAAGCGTTGGACACGAAGGCTGGTTCAGAGTTTGGTACGAACTCTTTCGGCATGAAGTCAGACTCAGATTCAATCACACGTTTTGTGCTCAAGGAATGGCGACCGCCAATCTATTTAGATATGGTATTAGAAAAGCTGTATTACACTCATATGAGCTAGAGCTCAACAAGCTTGAGAGTGGTTTGCCATTCTACACGTATTCCCGGTACATGCTTACCTACGTTTAAGCTCATAGGAACCCAAAAGGAAGGATGAGGTTACTACAGGTAGGTATGCAGTCACACAAGTATGGCCTTAAAAACGTGTGATACGAAAATATTTGAAAGGCGCTTATTTTAGTGAGGTAAAAATGTAACAAAAACATGCAAGTGATAAAAGTCGACGAAAGTTTTATCAAGGCGACTCGACCAGCTATTCCTTCGATGCGCAGATTCCTTAAAAAACAATTCCCCGTAGTTGGAGAACGAAGCCACCGTAACCGCAGAGGGGCGGATCGCGTCCCCAAAGGAGCGTACCGGAAGTCGATATTTGAGATGTCAGCGCGCAAGTAAACTTCTTCGCACCAATATAGAAAAAAAAAAAAAAGAATACCCACGGGAAAATTGAAGCCATAGTAGAGAACCGTTCCGATAGCCCTTTTCTCCTTTAGCGTGTTTCCAGTTTGCTTCTCCGTACACTACCGCGCTTCTTTCGAAGACCTCTCTCCTTCCCCGGGTCTTCAGGGTGCACCAACACACGCACCGTATTTCACGTTCCGCCCGGTTCCCTCTTCCTTCTTCGGGACACGGGACAAAAGGAACGGAAGACGCAAGAGGTCCAAACAGATCGATTAGCCAGTGGGAAGCGTCGTCGTCCCCGTACCGTTCTCCGCAATCTCCCAGTGGCGGACTCTTCAACTCCTGACAGCTCGACACGGACGACTGCGTATCGCTTCTGCACGCCACTCTGCTTTCCCCGGATTCTGGACTGCCCCCCAACCAAAGACGAGGAACCGGAGCGTTCCTGCAGTTTGTTGTTCCCCGCGTTTCCGCCTGCCCATTCCTTCTTGATTTTTGATTTTTTCTTGCCGAGCGTCTAATAGGATCACTGATCTCCGCGACGTTCCCTGCGTTGTGTATCTTGTTGCGCTGGGAAACTCGAGAAAGACTGACTCCCGCGCTCACTTTTTCGCTTGAGTCTGGACCGCTGGGGCGACTTGGAAGTCCTCTCGGCCAATAGGACGTCCAAAAGAGTGACACATGATCTAGCTAGAGTGAGAGGTGCGACCTGGTGAGCGCTTGGTCACGTGTGTCAAAGCTGAGGTTCTGCATTGGATAGAGGTAGCTCGCGGCGTTTCTCGCAGCTGCCATTTCATTCTAAATGACGTAGTTTGTGGATGCAACTGAAAGGATAGCTTTGGCTGCTTCTCCCGGTGAGTGTTGGAGTTTGTTAGGACGGGCGGTTGAGCGCGCAGGCTGGTGTCGCAAAAGAGTTGGTTGGATTCGCAATTCTGTGTGTTTTAGGTGCAGACACGAGGTGTCAGGGTGCGTAAAGATGTTCGCCTATGGAGGCTGTATAGGGATAGTGTTTTCCGGTGTTGGTGTCCAGACTTTGGTCGGGGTTAATATATTGTTTTCGCTTCGTATCAGTTTGTTTTGTTTCTCTAGGAGCAAACGGCGTTGAACAAGTAATCGAACAAGTGACCCGCATCGAGCATTGTTATAGTTGGGGAGATTTCCAGAACAAATCTCAGCGTTGCTGACTTGTTTGTTATACACGGGAAGCTCAAAGAATACGTCGGAATCTGATCTGGTGCCAGTGCATCGTATTTTTTTTTTAATATTTGGGCTTTACTCACATTTACACATAAAGTATAAAGGCGAGATGAAACGGGCTCACTAAGATAATATCTGTGTTTTCTGTTTCTCCAAACTCGTAATTTCTGTCTTTTGCTTTTCGATCTTGCTGTGGTGTGTTTATTAGAGGAGCACTGACATCTCGAAGGTCGTATTTTTTGTTGTTTTCTAAAATCATGCAAGCTGTAGTCATAGACACACACAGAAATACAAAAAAAAAACGATTCTCACGCGCGCGCACACGCCTTTTTTTTTTTTTATTTGTGGCGTCAAAAAAATATGAACTATAAAGACCTTGTAAGTAGAATTCCTATAATATTTAATAACAGAACTCTTGAAACATGTTTTTTTTAATGCAATCGCAAACGCACTGCGGTTTTTTGTTTTTTTTAAGTGCGGAAAATTGGAGTTTGGAGGGATGTCGCCTCTTGGCTTTTTATTCTCCCTCGGAAAACATGGTGGCGCTGGCTGCGCTCGTCACATGCAGCACTGAGGGTGATCAGTGAGTCAGGGAATCGGACGAAGTTCTCTTTTTTAGGTGCCCGACGTGCTCTCAGATTTCGTAAAAGAGATCGTCAAACGGCCAAAACAACTGGGTTTGGTGTCTGTGTACCCTTAGATCCGGTTGCGACTGTACCGAAACAGCCTTTCACGCAGAACCGGCGCCACGTGGCTCCTCACGCCACTCACAAAAGTCTATTCGCGCAATTTCTTCAACCTCACATCGTTTCAAAGATTTGGAGATGGTTGATGGAGCCCTAAAAGAACTTCAAACTCGAAATTGAAGCGTCGTCTGCTCGCAGCGATAGGGGGAATTCACAGAGAAGCGCGGTTAATTGCGGGACGCGGGCGAAGACGACATTTCGGGTCGAGGCGGTTTGGAGGTGTGAGAAAAACTCAAGGTGCAGGACGGCTCAATCTATGACTTCACTGCACAGGCGCGGATAGCGCGGAAACTTTAAAATTGAGTTGGGGAAATTGTTTTTTACTTTACAAATACTGAGTCTCCTATTGTCTGGAATTTTGAGGGTAATGTCCAGGCACCGTTTTCAATCGTTTTGGATAAAAAAACAAAAAACAAAAAACACATATATAATGTTCATCTGTCTGTGCCCCTTTAAAGCCGATAGATGCTGATAATTCTTTAAGTGATTTAGTGTAATCGTTTTAAATTTATGACAAGCAATATTCACTTCTTAATAGCTGAACGTATTCGACAAACCGGACGAGTATTGGAAAGAAGAGATCGGTCAAGCTAGAAGCGATATTTTTTGGGCTGCGGAGACAACAAATACGCATTAATTTTTTTCTACATTTTAATAAATTAGTGGTCGTTAACCTTCGGACGACCAGAATTCAGCCAATCGATCAAAGCGCGAAATGTCTGTCGCCGGAGAGATTTCAAAGTTGTGCGTCTGTAGATTGCAACAGTTGGCTGTCTCGTGTACTTTGCGGAAAAGTTGACGCTCCAAATTTCTCAGAGTGTATGTAGTGAAGGAGAGCATTTTCTGAGCGTCTCCTCCTCGGAAGGCGTTTCACAGCCCGGTAGGCAAAGCTAACAGCGTGCACAAGGGGCTCATGGGAATAGTCTCTAAGACGCGCCGCCCTTTCTTCTTTCACAGCGCGGCCTACGAGGTCCTCGGAACAGCAGGGACCGCGGTTCGAGCGCGAGCCTCCGGGCCTCGTCGAGTTCACCAACAGCAAGGAGGCCAGCGTGCCGTGCCAGGCGAGCGGTCGTCCCGCGCCCGCTGTGCGCTGGATCAAACTCCCGGACGCCGTGACGGCAGCCGAGGTACCGGGGCTGCGTTACGTGCGCCCGGACGGCACGCTCGTCTTCCCCAAGTTCGCGCCCAAGGACCTGCGGCAGGACGTGCACTCGGCGCTGTACCGATGCGTGGCTACCAACAGCGTGGGCGCCGTCGCCAGCCGAGACGTTCGTGTCAGAGCCGGTGAGTTTTTATTCATTCCTGTAAAGGTAACAATTTACGTTGAAACAACGCGGCTGGACAGGGACGAAGCGAGAAACTGGACGAAAATGAACGCTTTTACCTATTCGTGCCCGGTCGCGCCGTTTCAATACGTATACCGAGTGGACCAGTCATTTAGTTTGTTGAAAAATTGATACGAATATACAAGTTTGAAGCATGAAATGCTTTGCTAGCGTAGTCGTGCCTGAATGCCGGCGTCAAAAAAGTGTTAAAAATAGCTGGGAAAAAGAGTTCTTCCTTACTTGCCCACCATGGCTGTGTTCTTCCGAGCGCGTCCAACGGGTAATGTCACGTGACAATCCAGATGAAACAACGCTGGACGCGGGTAGGTTTTCGACCTCCGAGGTACCAAACCGTTGCTCGAGAGTGAGGTCCAGTCAAATCCGCTATGTTCTTTGACCGGTTCCACCGGTCGAAGAACATGAATGGTCGTTTTCAAATGTTTTCCAATTAAAATATTTTAGTAGATAGTCAGCGCTCGTCCTGTGCGGTTCTTCTTCCACCTCGCCTGTTTTTCGCGCTGCTTCCTACTGTGAGTTATCGCCATACTTAGGTGATCTCAAAAACCTCGTCAGGGCCCATATAAGACTATGACTGATGCGTGATTATATGAAGAAGCATAGGTTTTCGGGCAAAATACTTCTCGCTTAGTTTGTAGCAGCGCAGCAACAAGCGACAGGATCTTACTGGCACGAAACCCACTCAAATTTTTATTTACGAGGGAAGATACTACTACAGATAATGGTTAAAAATTCACTAACCAATAAAAAGAGCGGTGGTGTTTTAATGAGACAGTTCGCTCCTGGTTTAACATAAATAGTTACTCAACTTGAGTCGATTTTTACTATCTTTCACTTCCGTCAGTACAGCAGCCAAAAGGACGCTTGCAAACTAAGAGTTTCAATTGCGCGTGGGAAAAAGGGGGGGTGGACAAAAATGGACTTCGAGGCAGAAATATTGAGTCTATAATTTAACTCGTTTAGAATAATGTTTCTGCAAGAAAATTAAGATGTCTATAACGAACATTGGTTTTGGCTTGTAAAGATTTCTTCGTGGCTTTCTAGCGTCCAGCATTGCATGAAAACTACGGAAAGCTGTCGTACTTTATGTAGACGCTTCGTGGGAACAAGCCTTAAAAATAAAGAGATGGCTGTTGCTTCGCTACTTCGTAATGTCGTCCTGGCATCATTGCCACCATCAAACCGTCAAGCGTAATATGGGGGACGAAGAAGATGACGGCAGCGGAGAAAGCGACAGTTCAGAGACGCGGCCTTGGTGTTCAAACAAGCTCGATCAAAAACGGCATCATTTCTTGTTTTTTTTTTTTCTCAGAGGAAAAAAAAATGTTTTCCGATGCTGACCTCGCCACTCGAACGCCTCGCTGACTGTCCTGAAAAGAATTTCGACGGCGTACAAGTGCACATAAAAAAGAAAAAAAAGAAAGAGAAAAAGTAAAGAAAAGCGTTGTCTGCTGCCGCGGCGAACGACGCCCCGCTCCTCGAATCCCCGGTGTACTATGGATGTCGTCGGTTTGGAAGCAGCACCTTTTGAAAAAAGTTTCACGCCGCCTGCTCCATTTCGCTTCTTTGACTCGCGAAATTGATTCGTACATTTCACTCCGAGTATTTTTTTACTTCTTTCTTTTGAAGCAGGAATGACTGGAAACCTTGCTGGAAAGCAATAGCCTATACATATAAGCGGCGATGGTGCTATTCTCTGGACTCAAGCGCAACTAATGGAGGTACTTTCCCTGGGTGTATTTTGCGTACTTTTATGGTTTGCATTGATAGATATACGGATTTAGATTTTTACGTGATTCGTGGAGGCTTTTCTCAACAATGGCTTCATCGTGATTTCGTATAAAACGACAGAAATGAATGCAATCCGCAATGGGAATAGCCGGGAACTAGAGCAATCTTTTCTTTTTTTACTTCCCTCACAGTATGCAGTTATGTTAACTGCGCACTCAGATTCATTACGTATCTGACAAACGTGAAGGTATAAAATTATTGTCCTAACAATATTTATGCGAACATATATTGTTCAAGTATGGGCTCATGATGGCTACTCCGGACAGTTGTTTTTGGGCTCCTGAATTACGAGCATATTCCGTATATTGCGTACGACTTTTCGTATATCTGTTTTCTAAATACTGTTTTGTTGATTTTTCGTAAACTTGTATTTACGGCTGTACTACTTGAGCGTGTTGGTACTTTTTAAAGATAAGAAAATAGGGCACAAATAACAAAGACAAGGAAGGTCCATGCATAGACGGTTGAAGCGCTCGTGTTTGTTCAGTTTACACCTTCTTCGTCTTGCTATTTGCGCATTGCTTTCAGTTGTGTCATGCATGAACTAACTCGCCTGCATCGCTACTTTAAATTACAGGGTTGTTGTCTTGTTTAAAAGTTCTTATTTTGTTATGTCAATGCTGCTCTTGCGTTACAGTATCAGCAGCGGCTGCTAAATGTGTGGTAGTAGGGTGACCTGTCCTCCGTCGGCCTTGACGTAGAAGTGGAGCTGTCGCCACAGTAGATGCACCTATCCGGCCTCCCCCCCCTTCGCTGCGTTCCGTGGCAAAATCCACACCTCGTAGCTGGAAGGCCGCTGGTCCTGCGGTATTTCTCCAAGAGCCCCTTGTCGGGCTTAGAGGTACATTGGACACTCCCGTGCTAGGAGTTTTGTGGTTGCAGGCTCGGCACAGTCTCGCCACATTCCCCCGTTCGGGTCTTTCCGAAGACCCTTTGACTCAACGACGGCGCCAGGGTGGTGTTCGTGGCAATGCGTCTGATTGTGACTTGAGCTGTGCAGTTCGGGCCCGGGGGCATCACTGGGACCTCTTCGTTGTGTCGTTCTTCGGCGGCGGCGTTTTGTCTTACTTTGAGGAGGATGGCTTTCTGCTTCTTTTTAGGATGGCCGCCCTTTCTCCGGTGTCTGTGATGACGTCCGAAGATCTGGGTTCGCTCGGTCTTCGGGTGTATCCGGGGTCTCAGGGCTTTCTTGTGTGCGCGTTTGCGTCCGACACGGTTGTTCTTCCCATGGCTATTCGTGCCTCGCTGTGAGCTGCGCGTTTGCGTCCGACACGGTTGTTCTTACCATGGCTATTCGTGCCTCGCTGTGAGCCCACTCGTTTGCCAAAATGCCCGCCCGAGTGTGCTGGGACCCAGTCTGTTGGTATTAATGTGTTTCTTTCGTGAGTCTTGAATTTGACGCACCTGTTTTGAACGGAGACGTGATTGCAATTCTACGTTAAGATTACGCCTCCGGTGAATTCGCGTAAATTGTAATGGGATTGACATCAGACTCGATGGAGTGACGTTCTTCTGCATGGAAGGCCGATCGTGGAATGGCCTCCAGTTTGGCACCCTTGACGCCTATCCCCGGGAACAGGGAATACGCATCGACCTCGCGGGTGGTGTTGTCTACCCAGGCGGTCGCCGCTCGTGGAAGTTGTTCCACTCCGTTTGGTGGTAACTGTTCTGGTGCCACGTCGTTGTAGATAGAGGTGTGCTTTACTTCGTCTCTATTACTGACAATCTCTTCATGCTCCCTGGCAAATCGGCACATCCTCTCGGTATCACAGTGGCGGATCCAAGGGGGGGGGGGGGGGGGCGACAAGGGCGGCCGCCCCCCATCCCCCAAACGAAGTCGACCCCCCCCCCCCCTCCCCCCTTCACGGAAGGCAATTTGACATGGGTGGACCCGCCGGTGTACAAAAAAGAATGAAAGAATAGTATCCTTACACATTTTCCGCCCCCCCCCCCCTCAAAAAAAAAAGTGAGTTCTGGATTCGTCCCTGCGGTATCATCGAGGCCCATGTGACTTGGAAGGGGTAAATTGCCAATTAGGGTGACCTGCGGTTCCCATGGTGATCAGTGCACCTCCGAAATAGGTGGTGCAGGGTTGGGGAGTTATCCCAGGTCTTCCAGGATATTGTGCCCAGCGCGTGTGCTCAGCAATCTGGTTCTCCGCACCGATAAGATTTGCTCAGCCACGTCTTGGAGCTCGTTGAGCCCTCCTCGCGCGTAGAGATTTATTGTCCATGTGTACTGGGGGAGGCCTGTAATGATATGTATTGTTTCGCGGTTAACTTCCTCCAGCTCTTCCCGTTGTTCGGCCATGACGTGATGGTAGTTATAGAAGTAGAAATGTTTTGACGAGAAGAGGGCTTGGTCGAGCTGCTGAGTTTCTTTCTCGCCGGTTCCCCATCTTCTGTTGGACACTCTCCGGATGGGGCGAAGTACCTGTCGATACTCCCTCTTCGCGTGGGACATCTACGTGCCGGCCTTGCCGTCTTGGCCAGCCAAGAGGCTCAGGATTCAGCCCACCGGGCTTTGCTTGATAGTGTGCCCGGCAAGGTTCAGGTTGTTGAGGCGTCTGGTCTTCTCGGCGTTTACCTGCGGGCCGGAAAGGACGACGACGAATTCTGTTTTCTGTGGAGAGGCGGCCATTTCTATCTCTTCCAGCAAATTGTGTACCTCGTCGAGGTCTCGCTAAAGCGTGTATTCTTGCTCTTCCGAGGAGCCCGCCACGGACCAGAGGTTGATGTCGACCGCATATATCGCGAAACGAAGGTGCAGAATTTAGGCTATGCACAGGGGCGCGCGCGCTATCCAAAATTTCGCTGCTATAACGCAGCGAAAATACTGTAGGCAACAGCGGCCAAAGCGCTGCATTTGACTGACCGAGTTGCACAAACCACAGCACATTCAACAAGCAGCTCCGATTGCCAGCTCAGAAGGCGCGAAAAATCACAGGCTGCACAAGATATGGAATACACAGAAAGAATAAAACACATGAAGGACGAGCACAGACGCACACAGTGCGTCTGTGTTCGTCCTTCATGTGTTTTATTCTTTCTGTGTATTCTGTAGTTTCCAACGCGCTCTCCTACGTGTACTGCACAAGATATGATTCAGCTTTACGTAATGTCTAATTATACGGACTCGACCGCTGACAGG